GCACTGTTGGAGGAGCCTGTGACCTAATATTTTCTACCCGTGACCAATAAAATCCTTGAACCTTGAACCTTTACTTCCACCCCAATGCAAACGGGAACCCAAAACATGGAAATCACTAAGATTCAATCTTAGTAGTAAATTCAACATTTTGTAGACGATATTGTCTGCATAACAACTCCCCAGATTTGAGGCTTGAAAGCACAGAAGCTGTTAGGACATTGGGTCGGTTATATTCTTCAGACCATTGCAATGCTAGCAATATCCCTATTTTTGCTGTGCAAACTGAAAGGTGATCTGACATTTTCATTTTTACTAGTATTCCATGTACCATGTCCTCTTTGATTTCCCAATTTGCCAATATCTTGACCCTCAACTTCTTTTGCAGAATTTCCTCCATTTCAACCTGCATTGTATGGTGATGTGTTTAACACCACAAATTCGGTGAGTCTGAGCCTGCCCAACATCACGGTTTTTAAGGTTGGTTTCTGCTGCAGACATACGCGATCATCCATAATCTAGAACTGCAATCATAAGAGCCCAGTATATATTTAATAAAAATTTTCTGTGATATCTGTCACAATCTTTTCAAATAAAACTGCAACAATCTCACTGCCTTGACCTGTTCAAGGACTGGTCCATATAACTTCATGGTTACTACTGCACCATCATATGCATAAAGTAATTTCACCATGTTTTTCTCAACATGTTTAAAATATCATTTATCATTATGGTAAATAACAGTGGGCCACACTGCCGGGATTCTAATTACTATTGTATACGCTTATTCGAAAATTCTGTACACCTTAACCCCGTTGTCCTCTGACTATAAACAGCAAATCTGACACCCAGTTCTATATTCTACCATTTACAGTTTATTATTAAATATAATTTTAATAAGAAATCTCTCTTTCCATAACATGTCATAAAACTTTTCCACATCAAAGTACACAGCAATCCCCATTTATTATTTTGCTTGAGCTTTCCTGATTTAAGATTCCAGACAGATGGACTGACCTTTTCCGAAATCTCGGAAAGTGAGTGTCTCATCAGTATTTTGGAGTGGACGGAGATCTATTAAATTCTGCTCTGACAAGCGAACATTAAAACATCATTAAAACCATGAGGCACCTGAAGTGATAAACTCCCACTTGCCTCGTCACACTTTATTTGCATTGTACAGATGAATATTAAAACCCTGAACATACAGACTTTTAGCTCTGCTTACACCTTCATTACTAACAGAGTGGTGAAGATCAGGGGTATTTAGGTGGTTTCCATGGCAGCTGGTTCCCTTGCACATGCAAGGAGGTGAAGCAGCCCACACATTGTGAAGCTCTCCGTAGAGTAAGCTATCCAAAGAAAGGTGAGCGTCTACTCCCACCAAGTTCAAGCTTCTGTTGCTGCTTTCTGGGCCGGGCTCCAGGATACTAAAGTTTCCTCAGCCTGTCTAACTGTGATGTTGGAACAGTCGCTTCCATTGTGTCCATCTGACATGTTGACAGTTCGCTGCAGATGTGAATTTAATTCCCAAATATGTCAGACCAGAAGTGAATGTTTGAAGTAAAGGAGGAGTAATATTGCCTTATCTGTTCAACTACAATCCACCAATGCACCAATTTCTTTCAGAAAAAGAAAAGAAAATGGCAAAACCACAACAACAAAAATACAACAATAACTTAATAAAAAAACTTTTAATTGGTACTTCACCAACTTTGAACATGCCTTTAAACTTACTAGAACCCTACAAAAGGATTGAATACAACATTAAGTATGGTTTCCAAAAACTTGTAAACTCATAAAAAATAAATACATGTTTATTAGTTCAGCGTTTTGGTACCCATTTAAAGTGTGTATAAAAAATTTGTTTTTTATGCATTTATATAAAACGTTACAACAAAGGATTTGCAGATACTTTTGGATTAATATGTCCACCTGATGAACATGGGTCGATAATGAGGACAGACATGCAAAGGCCCCACCACCTCTCTCACTTACTGTAAGAACAAGACAGATACTTAATAGTTTCTGTATTCATTTTGTGTCTCTACAATTTGCCCGTTTTATATTTGGTGTGAGTCTTTTGTAATTCTGAGTCCCTTACTGGTTGGTATGTGTGTGACTAAGAGTCATTTCTGCAGTAAAAGTCATGATGAAGGCCAGGGGACCCTGACACTTTGGGCCCCTCTGCCCCTGTTATAATTCATCCATGCTGATGCATGAAATATCTGTGTCTTTAGCTAATGCGGAGCTTTTAAGAACACCTACTGCTAAAATCCACTTCAATCAGCGTTCAGACCAAAACACTGAAATTGTGGGACATAAAACCAAAACAATGACCCAAAAGACATTTCCTTCATGTGTTTCTTAACCATTTTAGATGCCTTTTAGGTACTTCCACAACATTATCTTTCAAGTTATTAATTTTACCCAAAGTTTTGACTATGTGCCATGGCTTATGAGGCTGGTTCAATGTCATTCAGGTTGTGCGGATTATCATAATAAAATGACATTTTTTCAACACATTTGTATAAAAGAACGTAGGCCTTGACAAGAGTCAAAACAAATAAAAAAGAGGTACAATTATTATTATTTTGAATGATAAACATGAAATAATACAAAGTTTGAGAACTGTTTCTTGTCCATGTGTTCTACACAGGTTGCCCATATCTGTCTTTTTATAGACTTTCACTGTGATAATTGTAGTCTTTAATCTTCAATTGACTACAGCTGCAGCCACTATAGTTGGCAATGTTATTTTGAACTTTTTACACAAAACCAAAAACAGGTGCTAACAGAAGTTAAAATTATCCGTAGCATTTCCATTTAATGAAAGTTAAAAACTTCTGCTGCACCACTGCCTAGAGGTAAATATTGTACTTTTTACTTCAGTGATTTTTCCGATCACAGCTTTTCAACTCCTTCCTGTCCAGTGAATACAACGTATATCGAACGTTTTTTTAATTTTAGGGATAAATTGAAGGATGGTATGTTTCTTTATGTGTTTAGAAACATATAGTTCTTAAAGCTAAATGATTCATTGCTGTAGATCAAACTGCCCAACCATTTAGAATGAAGCACAACCTTAAACATCTACAGCAGTATGAAACAGACCACAAAGCCATAGAGTCTGTATTTTCACTACTTAATAACTACTTATTTCAACTGCTAAACTTTCTTGATGAGCAATTATATAATAGAACAAAGAAGAGAGAGAGAGAGAGAGAGAGAGAGAGAGAGAATTGTACAGGAAGGACCTAGAAACATCTAATGTGTTTATATAGTAAAAATATAAATCACAAATGTGCCTTGTCTTTTGAAAAAAGAGATAAAAGAATGAGGATTGAAAAAATTAAGAATTATAAAAATGGGACAAAGTTATATTCAAGAGAGGAAATAAAGAAAAACAGATTGGTTTGAAAATAAGAAGAATACAAGCTAAATCTGAATTTGGGTATGAATTATCATCCAAATCCTTTATTCAATAAGAGGTGGTTTTCTTAATATTATTTGGTTCCCTTCACATGTTTAACATTTTGAGATACCAAGACAAAGTGGTAAAAGTTGATATGCCTATAAAATGACACATACATCTATAAATGCTGAACTTACACTAAAGCTGCTAAGTTTTTTTATTTAAATGTTTAGATTTATTTTCAGTCAGGAGAGCACAATATTCATGCACACTGTTTGAATTGAACCAATGTATTGTTGCACGTCTTGTTTTCTGCTGCAAGCTGATTGTAAAATAACTTAATTAATTGTTGTTGTATGTATGTAGGCCTACTTATATTAATTTTAACATAATCAGTCAAAGCAGGTCACGCTAACTTAAGTTGATGTAGGCCTCTCAGCAAAGTATTGTGCAGCAGATGTCATGTGGTTGTCTACAAAAAAAGATAAAACAGAGTACAAGGTGTGTTTTTGAATTCAGTCATAAATGCTTGAGGGGGATATTGAAGTTTAAGGCAAACGTTTTTTTTTGTCCGCAGTGGATTTAGACTAGAATTCGGGAATCAGTGAAGGTAATGAATTGTTTAATGAAATGCATGCATCTATTCGTAGAAAATATATTTAGCAGGTTATTAATTTTTTTTTTTAAATAGCTGTCATAACAGTCTTATTTTAATTTAATGTTGTTTTGTTACGTATTCTTATTTCTGTGTCTTAGTATGCAACACATGTACAAAAGCAAATTCCTTGTATGTGTAAATCTACTTGGTAATAAAAGCGATTCTGTTTCAGATTATGATTCTGATTATGTAATTTAAAGATGATATGATGATTAAAATGTATTTAATAACGAAATAAAAATAATGCATGAATGATTATAGGATTATAGGCACATTTTTATGAAAAGGGCCATTGTGCATAAAAGTAGCCAACTTTTTCTTTTGGTAGTCTTTTTTTAAATATTTGTATGCTAATTAATTGTATTTTGCTTTATATACTTTACAAATAACTAATACTTCTTCCAACACTGGATAAGCTACTTATTACTTAATAATTGTTTGTAACTATTGTATATAATAATAATATTAATAATAATAACTCCAACAGTAAAACAAAAGTAAAATATTTTTAAACAAATATGGTTGGGTATTCATTTAAGAAAAAAAAGTAACCTCATTAAATTAATGTCACTAACAATAATTCAATGATGTGGAACAATTAACAATGTCCATTGGGATGGAAAATCTTATGGTTTTATAAAGGGATCACTGAGGAACAGCATTAACAAGTAGTAAGTGAAGAGAAGGGACATCTCAATATCAGTGCAGTATAAGGAAGACGTTATCAGTTCTAGATGTGGTTCTAAGTTCACTTGTTCTGTTGAGGTTCTGCATGGTACGGGAGGCAGGCAGTGTTGTCTGCCCACTACCGTTGGGTTCTTTAGGAAGAGGTTTGTTTATGCAGCACTACTTTTGTGTACATCCGACAATTACTACCAAACTAAGTAGCAATTTTCGACCTCTTTTTTTAAAAAGAGAGCTACGAAAATTCTAAAACCGCGCTCGCTTTTAAAGTTTCATACTCTATCCTCGTGAACTGTCTCCCGTTTCGACCCCGACAGACGACTTCGGCTGCGTTATTTGTTGGATCTATTTTCTTTTGGGGATGGCTGTGCTGCGCCTTTTTCTCCTTCGCTCCGCCATCTTGAATTGTAATGTTAGTTTCTGAAAAAAAAAAAAATTGTGTTTCCTGTGATATTTTTTGTTTAGGGTGTCGTGCCAAATTTGGATGAGTTTGAAGGAGTTTGATTTCGTGATTGTTTTCACAAAATCACATTTGTGAGTATTGCGTGTTTGTTCTGCGTCTGTAGTCGACTGGAGGCATTTAAACGCTACCAACGCGTGAAAATGCTTTCAGCTATCTAACTGCCTGCTATAATGATAAATAATGCCTGGACTGATACTCTGATTGTTCTACTCTCTTTTTATGAGTACAGTGCACCGTGTGTCCAAGGGGATCGACACACAAACTAACTTTTAATTCGCTTACAAATGATAGATTTAGCCTGCTAAGCTAACTAGCATTAATGGTTTCCAAATCAAACAACCCAGGCTAACGCAGTGTGTGTTAGCTTGGGTTAGCCTGCTGTGGTCCAGTGGTTTGCAGGTAACGTAAGTTACAGGGCAATGTGTGCAGTTATATATCTGCTCATTTCCTCGAATATTTGAAGCACACAACTGTATATTATTATTGTGATAAAGGGTAACGGTGGTGTGTTATTGTCGACTGTTGTTGACTGCTAGCTGACAAAGCTAGTGAGCTCACTGAAGTTAAGTTTGGTGCTAGCTAGCATAAACTAAGCAGTACTGTTAAATAATTCACAAATATGTGTTCTCTTAATAAGAATAGACACGTGTTAGTAAACGCTCCCATAAAACGGGGTTTTATTATCTGGCTGTAAGCATTTTTTAATGGAATATTTGAAATCATCTTGAGATGTGGAGTGCAGTTATTATGGTGTAGTTTTGTTTAAAATCCCCACCCGTGTGATACTCTGTTCCGGTCTTTGTGTTGAAATAGGAGTTAACTGACAGTGTTTTTATGGTGGGTGTGCAACGTTTACTGTGCATGGCACATTGCCGGCGTTTGCTGCAAGCTAACCACCACCATGGCCGAGCATCTCCCCGGCGTCGACTTATAGTGGTTAGCTCCATGCTAGCGGAGAATGCACGACTAGAGAGAAGACAGTTGACAAACAATGCAACGCTATATTGATAACTCTGAGACAATCTCGGCCTCAGCTCCTGTGCGTGGCATTTCCTGATACCTTGTGGTTTTAAATGTGGCTAACGTTAGCTTCTGAGCTAAAAAAAAAAAAAACGAAGATATTTTATATGCATCGATTACAAATGAGATGATGCTCATTGCGACGCAATAGCGCATTTGGATACCACTTTACTCATATGACGGTAGTATAAATATTGTATGATGTGTTTTATAGGATCAGTGCTCAGGACTGGCTGATCCATGAAGTGACAAAGCCATACTTTATGTGTTGGTACCAACGACGTTTCTGTTGCACTTGACAATAAGCCAGTGTGCATTATGTGGAGTTAACACTAAGCGGCGCTACAGGATAATTTTAAACTTCTTTCCTCAACACATCCTTTCCTGTTTGTGTCCAACCCATGGATGTATATTAAGAACATCCAACCTAGTGGTGTAAGAAGGAAAGTAGTAATACCACAATGTACACATACTCTGTTAGTACGTAAGTAAGTGCACGTCCTGTATTCAACCCCCCCCAAAAAAATTAGTCCAAAAATACTCCGGTATAATATATATTTTATTACTAGATTATACTTATTAATGTATAAACTTGTATATTTAGTACTTTATATACTACTGGGTATCCTAACATATAATCATAATAATAATAATAATACATCATACTTTGTTTTCGAATTTTATATTTTGTATAAATAATCAAAATTGGCAAAGTATCTCAACATTAAATATACATTTAGTGGAGTAAAAGCACACTATTTTTCAATAGACTTAGTAAAATAATATTATCAAGTAGCAGGAAATGGACACACTCAAGTAATTTAAAGAGCCTCAAGATTGTACTTGAGTAAATGTACTTAGTTACATACATTCCACCCCTGCTTAAACCTACCACAGTGTAAACAACGCCAGTCACCACTGGGGGAACTAACGGGTCACACTTTAGCAGCAGCTGCCAGTTGTGAGCTTGTCTGCCTTGAACCTCAACAATTCCAGTAATTTCAAATATTGTTTTAAGTTTTGTGCACAATATTGATCACGGAATATGCAAAGGTTCACAGTATAGAGAAAAATGAATGAATTACTTGTCCCCTGTTAGGTGATGAATCTATTTTGGTGGTTGAACAATAGTCATTTTTTCTGTATTTGTCTTAGCAGCCTTTGAGCTGATAACACATCCACCTGCTCATTTTCATCCCATCGATCTGTGTAATCTAATTTGTGTCATCTAGTGACATTTTGTTTTTCGCTATGCTTCCAGGTTTCAAACTCTAGACCCCAGTCTTCCCCACTCAAGAGTGTTTCTTCATTTCGGAGACTAAATGCAACTGGACCAGGGGGATTGTGGACATGAAGTGGCTAGGCGAATCCAAGAACATGGTATTAAATGGCAGACGACACGGAAACAAGTTGACCAGCGAGCAACATGTGAGCCAGACTCGCTCCCAGCACTCACAGCGAGTGTCCCTGCGACACAGCAAAAACAGAAGTCGGAGGTGTAGCCGCAGTGAGTTACACATGTTTGTTAACAAATGTGTACATACTTCATTAGGCACATGCCTAACACCAGTCTTGGGTTTGGTGTTTACAGGGTTTATTGCAGCCAGCCTGGAGGCAGAGAGGCGCTGTGTGCCCTCGTCAGGAATGACTGCCAAGGAGTTGTGTGAGAATGATGACCTGACCACAAGCCTCATCCTGGATCCATACCTGGGTTTTCAAACTCACAAAATGAACACCAGGTCAGCAGATATATCACAGTGTAACTGATTATCCTGCAGCCTATTCACACTCCTATAAAAGCATTTATATTGATTGTCCTGGATTAGGCTGTATGTTATTTCAGATTTTCCTATTCGGGTTCCATTTGCTTCACGCCCTTAATTTATCCCTGCAGATTTCGACCAATTAAGGGAAGGCAAGAAGAGCTTAAGGACATCATCGAGCGCTTCAAGAAACACGACAACTTGGAGAAAGCTTTCAGAGCTTTGACGACCGGAGACTGGTCTCGAAATCAATTTCTCCACAAGACGAAAGCTCAAGAAAAGCTCTTCAAGCAACATGTAAAAAACCATTTCCCAAGATTTCCCATGTTTTTCATTTTCCAGTATCAAAAACAATAACATGACTAACTTTTTGTTTCGCACAGGTATTTGTGTATCTGCGGATGTTTGCCACAGACAGCGGGTTTGAGATTCTCCCTTGTAATCGCTATTCATCAGAGCAAAATGGAGCTAAAATTGTGGCAACAAAGGAATGGTGAGGATATGCTGCCACTAGTCCATGAACTAATTGCATTAGCCCCCACCTGCTAAATGAATATTAACTGTATTAGTCAATACATTTAAAGGTTGTTCTGGTGTATGTGTGAAAGCACTTCTACCGGAGGTAATGCTGCCCATTTATGCAGTGTTTAATAAACTTTTCCTACCTTTTTTTTTTTCTCCTATCGTTCTTTAACAGGAAGAGAAATGACAAGATCGAGTACCTGGTGGGATGCATTGCCGAGCTTTCAGAGAGTGAGGAAAACATGCTGCTCCGGCACGGGGAGAATGACTTCAGCGTCATGTATTCAACCCGTAAGAACTGTGCGCAGCTCTGGCTGGGACCAGCTGCGTTCATCAATCACGGTACGAGTCAATATTATTTCTCATGGTCTGGTTTCTGACAACATCACGAGATGCCCTTATGGGAATTTTTATAATTAAATATATAATTTATAATCTCCACTAGTCCAATATTCTTTGTATGGATACTAATTTAATTTTTCCCTTCTTTGTTCAGATTGTCGACCAAACTGCAAGGTAAGTTCTCTAGAACACTTTTCTTTAGAAAAAAATATAATCTTAATTATCAGTTTTTTTTTTTAGAGCTCCTGTTAATAATCACATTTTATTTTTCTGTTTAGTTTGTATCGACAGGACGGGACACAGCCTGTGTGAAGGTTTTGAGGGACATTGAACCAGGAGAGGAAATCTCTTGTTACTACGGAGACGGGTTTTTTGGGGAAAACAATGAATATTGTGAATGCTATACATGTGAACGGTAGGTGGATCCATTAGTTGCACTGTGAAAATACATAAAAACATAATCTAGAACTTAATCACAGCCGGTCATGATTCAACACTCTGATATAAACTGCTCACCTTGTCGGGGTAGAATTATCAAAAATGACTCGATGGCTCTGTGTGATCGTGCTATTTAGACAGCTATTTTGCACCACATATTGATTTTAAAGTGCTTCTATTGCTTCCGTCAATAAATATAAACTGCAAGGTTCGCGATCCGAACTGCGCCTATAACCACGGTCTGTTATCTCCTCTAAGCATACTGTTGTTGTCAATAATAAAATGTTAAATGCCATTATTAACCAATCAGAATTGATTATCATGATAAACAGTATTATTTTTGGGACAAATGTTGTCATTATTTTTATTTTTTTCAACCCAAAAAAAAAAAAATATATATGAATGCAACAATGTAAAAAAAAATATATATTCAAAAGGGAAAACTCAAAGCAACATAAATTATTAAAAACTATGTAAACGGACGTGTTAAATTGTCAAACGGTCATATTACCAGTATTATAAAATCACAAGTTAATTCCAAGATATTTGCATTTGTTTTTTTGCTCAACTATTCACCTTTTTTGTCGCAGACGGGGCACTGGTGCTTTCAAATCCAAAGCTGGGCTGCCAGTGGAGGTGCCGGTAATCAACAGCAAGTACGGGTTGCGGGAGACGGACAAGCGTCTCAACAGGCTGAAGAAGCTGGGGGAAGGAAACAGGAGCTCAGATAGTCACTCTGTAGGCTCTCACACCGATGTTGACTCTCAGGAAATGCCAAAAACACATCAATGTAAGAGTCTTCTAAATATTCAATGCTGTAGCCATAGTTACTGCACAGGTTCAAATCCCAAACTCAAAGATGTCAGAGCAGAAAAGAAATCCCACCTGCCAGCGTGGTGTGGTAAAGGGAGCATTCTACTAAGGATTTCAATAAGAACATCAGTATATTAGAGCAGGGCTATATAGATGTAATTCTGTATCGTGAAGAACAACCAATATCTTTATTTTAGGACTTCTTGCTATCATAATTCAGTGTTTATCCTTCTCAGTGAAGTTATATTATTAATTATTAATGTTGGCTCTGAGTCACTGCTTGATTCTGTAAATGTCACCCAGCCAACACTGTAGGCAGGTTTCTTGAAACATTATAAATATGTTATGTGCAACTTTTTATCTTTATCTACCAGCTGCCAGAAAAAGAACATCATCTTCTGGCCTGAAGTATAAAAACAGGACTCAATCCAGACAGACTTTGTCAAGAGCCCTTACTACCTCATGTTCAAAACAAGGTCGTGTAAACAATAACAGGGTACCAAAGAGACTAAAATCCCAATCCAAACCTTCACTAAGTAAAGTCCAGTTGCGGAGTCGCAGAAGGGGTGCAGAGCCCAAGGCGTTGGCCAAAGGAGAGACTTGCCAGCTGGGTCTCAGGGACTCAAAGGTGTCGCTGTGTAAAGGCGTCACCGTGAAGAAGGAGAAGGATGGACAGGAGCTGGTGCAGCAGACATTGGGCCAGCGGGGCTGCCTCACCCGTCATGCTGCCAAGGAAAATGGCAATCTACAACATGTGCAAGGTAGTGAGGGCAGTCAGTGTTCGACGTACAGAACTCGCAGGTCCACAAGGACCCTGGTAACAGCCCAGGAAGCTGCAGCTGGTGTTAAGCTAGAGCCCAGTGCTATGGACGGCTTGAGCCCAGTCCCTGGTGGAGTGGTCATTAAAACAGAGCCAGCTGACATGGAGTACCACCTCCACCATGGGGTAGGACATGAGCAGCCATCGTTAGACTCTGGCTATGCCAGAACAGGCTCATGCACCAGGCGGAAACGGCCAACACGAACAATTAAATGTGAAGACTCGTACGACGAGCCGTTCATGCCGGTGGCTGCTAGTCACAACACTAACTTCTCTGACTGTGGGAATATGGTGTTGAGCTTCGCCGACCGGCATAGGGACTACAACGGGGTTTCGAACGGCAGCAAATCCCTTCGCAGGGACAAGGGCAAGAGTAGCTGTCGGTCACAGGACAAAGTGAAAAAGAAGCGTCAGATCACGCGATATGACGCCCAGCTGATCCTGGAGAACAGCACAGGTATCCCCAAACTGACGCTCCGCCGGCGGAGGGACAGCAGCAGTAGCAAGACCAACGACACCAAGGACCCCATTGGCTCCTCCAACCTCTCTGCCTCTTCGGTCAACTCGGCCTCTTCCAGCAAAATCAGCATCAAGTTCAGCAAGGACCATGACAAGGACAAAGGCAGCTCATACATAGCCAAACTAAATAACGGATTTTCCCCCGGGGTCCATAGCAACTCCACCAAGCTGAAGTTCCAGCTGAAGAGGGAGGACGATGCACGGAGGATATCCCAGACCAAGGCGGACCAGATGTCCTTTAACGGGGACATGGGCCAGAGTCTGGACTCCAGGAATGGTGGACATCGGACCCAAAAGGTCATGGCTGAGCCCTCCTCATCGTCGTCCTCATCGTCATCTTCAGAGGAGGACACGGACGACGAGGAAGAGGAGGATGACGATGACTACTTCGACAATGAGTTCGAAGACGATTTCATTCCACTTCCTCCAGCGAAGCGCCTCCGACTCATTGTGGGTAAAGACTCGATAGACATCGATATCTCCTCCAGGAGGAGAGAGGATCAGTCCCTGAGGCTCAATGCATAAGCTGTGGAGCTCATCACTCCCACCTTTCCCCTGTAAATAAAGATGATTCGCTAATCAACTGTTGTGTTGATGTAAAAGAAGTACAGTAATTTAAAGAAAAAAGAAATTGCTGAAAAGTTAAACATTTGAATGAACGTTACTAAAAGGTGCTGTTGACTTAAAACAAATGTCTGTTATTCACCTATGTTTATAATTTTGTTTCAATTTGAGTTTTTTTTTTTTTTAAAGCAAATACTCAAATTAAGAAAAAGTTTAATCACCAACTCCATTTTCCTGCATTTTGGCCCTGTCTACACGAATAGAGATAATTTTGAAAACTGATATTTTTGCTCACGTTTTGGTCTCCTCCCCATACAAACAGAATTTTCAGTCACCTAAACAGAGATTTTCAAAAACTGTGGTTACTGTGTATCCGTGTAAAACGTAGTGTTTGAGAAATAAAGCTTTGTGTAATGAGCATGCGCGTGAAACAATGGCGGACTAACTGTCGGCTTTTGTAAAGTAACACTAGGCAGCAAACCCACCTCATCTGGCATCCACATGTTTTACATTCACAAGACAAACTCGCTGCTCATTCTCCGAATCTTCTTACCTTGTATTCGACGCATCGTTGACATGGCGCCACCTATTGGTCCGACAAATATTTGGAGTTGGTTTGCGGAGGAGATAGTTAGGGATAGTTTTTATTTTTTAAATGTATTCGTATATACGTGTATACGGAGCCAAATATTTGCATTCTGCTCTAAATGAAAAGGGCAGGAAGTGGTCCTCTTTATTGTTTCTGAATAATCTGGCTTCATCCTAAGTGAAAAAAAAGCATTTGTTTTAAGTTCAACTCTTCCTTTAAGTGAATGCACTTGTTATATTCATAATGGACATGGATATTGTAGAAAGTGTACAGTATGTTGACTATCCCCCTCTGTCTCATAGGCAGGTTTTTATTGAGCTTTTGATTTCTGTCTCATAGTTTGTAATCTTTTGTGTGGTGAACCATGCAGTGTGTCGTGGATTCTCCGGAGGCATTATAAGAACAGTCAGTCCGTTCATTTGGATTCAGGTGCCATGTTCTCATTATCCCAGTAGTTCTCCTGGTTTAAAGAACCACTTGAATTTCATGAATTATCAACATTATTTACTGTGTAAGTTAATCACGTGTCTCTCTGTAGAGTTCAATCATGCAATTTTAAACCTTTAAACAAATCTGTGCTATCATGTTTTTCACCATAGAAAGAGAAGCAAACTGTTTTATATATGTTATTAACATGCATCAAAATGTGCTACAGACCACTTTGCAGTAACATTATGCATGTGTGTTTAGTTTGCCTGCAGTTGTCGCACATTCACGACACAAACGATACGATGGAGTTGCACAATGTTTTCTTTTCCAGTGAATCGACTCCACGGCGCTGTAAATAAAGTCAATTAAGCTGCAGAATTCAAAGAAATAAAAGCACACCGTTTTTTATAATCAGTCGAGGATAAATGAATGGGCTTTGTCTTTGGCGCTACTGTGGCGACTGTGGCTTTGAGGGAGTGTGGTCGTCTTTCAACCAGAAGGTTGTGGGTTCGATCCCAGCCCATGCAGTCAACATGTCGATGTATCCTTGGGCAAGATACTTAACCCTTAGTTGCTCCCGATGGCGTGGCCAACGGTGTGTGAATGTGTGTGAATGTTAGGTCCTAGAGTAAGGTACACTGCTCTGTATGAATGGGTGTGAATGGGTGAATGACATGTAGTATGTAAAGCGCTTTGAGGGG